TTTGTTTGTTTGTTTTCAGCAAAATGAGAACATTTGGTTACAATATCCTCATTTTCTTTCCAATGTTTTTACCCTCTTCAAATTCATCTCCTATGTTAACCTATAGAACAGAATGATGGGCTCTTACGTTTTATGTAAAAATATTCCTATTGATACTCTCCATGCTGCAACTGTCTTTTTTTTTTTTTTCTGCAGCAATGTTCCAACACGGCCCTGAACTTTTGTTATCGTTACATTTGCGGCGATTCTTATCTGGTACTGCAGGAAAAAAACCATTTGCTTTGTACTCAATTACATATAATTAGTCTTTTCTCCACGAACAAAAGAGCAGGTGTCTATCAGTTCTCTGAAGATGTCACGGTGAAGTTGCTTTGGACCTAATGATGTCTATGAACCAAACAAAATGTTTCTGGCAGATGCTTATAGTAACAAGATTTTTTTTTTCAAACAATCAACTGCTTTTACTCCCACCCACACAGCGTGGAGAAAGAAAAGACATGTTAACAACTTAAAGGCTTATCTTTTTTTTTCTATTAAAAAAAAAACATTATTGAGATTTAAATAGCTCTCTGGTATTGTTTATACCACTTATGAAAATTATATAAAATTACCATTTCACTTGAAAAGTTTTACTTATATATGTGGAAGGAGAGGATCAGGAAAAAGTTCATTAGTTGAAAAGGTGAAAACTGTATAAACACTACAAGTGAGTAAACAACACTTTAAGTGTTTCCATTTTCCTGATTTTGATAACTGTTCTGCCATTATATAAAACAATGGCATTAGAGAAAGTGTGGGGAGTACAGAGGTGCTTGCTGTACTACTTTAGTTTTTCTAAAGCCTAAAATTACTTCAAAAACCAAAAGTGGTGCTGGAATAATGGCTCCGTGGTTAAGAACAGTAGCTGCTCCTCCAGAGACCATGCATTCTATCCCCAGCACCCAGCTCTCTTTAACTCCAGTCCCAGGGATTCAACACCCTCTTCTGGCTTCTGGGGACAGTGAATACATGTAATACACAGACATACATGCAGGAAAAACACCCATTACATAGAAAAATTACAAAATTAAATTATAAACAACTAAAAGATAAGCCTTATAAAGGTGGGAGAAGTATTTATCCAACCACTTGAAAACCATCCATCCATTCACCCATCCATCCATCCATCAGTTCATACATCCACCCATGCACATACTCATCCATCCATCCAGTTCCCAGTGAATGTATACTATACATGATAGATCATATCTTTTCATTTTTTGGTGAATAAGTTAAAAAGTAAAGAAATAACAGCTACATATATGCTCTATACCCATGGCACTTAATAGTAGGAATAAAATGGATACTAGTTTGGATCTGAAACAGCCACAAAGCCCATGTGTTTAAGGCATGATCCACATCTTGGCACCATGAGCACCCTTAATGCACAAATGACCTACATGAAGCAAGTAAGTATGTTGCCTATAAAAGCCTCATAACCATAATAAAATTGATGACAGAATGTAAAATGTATATGATAACACTCTCCTTTTTAAAAAGTTTAAAATGTGCTAGACAATATGAAAAGTGACATAAGCATGCAGCTAAACAGAAAAGTTATTTTTTAAACTGTGTGTGTGTGATGCATACAGTATGTTGGTAAACTGTTGAAGCTCACTATGAAGCAGGCTTTGGAAGTGACATTGTTCCTCAATTTTAGAGCCCTAGCATGTCTGTCTCAAAGTGTACTCCAAGGCCCCTTGCTGGAATGGGCTACCCCCTCCCAACCTGTGAGAAGGAAGCGAGTGAATAAGGTAGACCAAGAGTGTGAGTATCATGTCTTGAGAGCAGCTAGAAGGTAAACTATCTCCAACAGAGGTTACTATTGTATATCCCATGGTGCAAAAGCTCCTGCAGTGGATAAGAGAAACCAGAAGTTCATCCATAGAATGAAAACCCAAATCAGAACCCAAATTGACTGTCTCCACGACTCCTTTTCTGTGGGATATTGTGAGCCTCAGATTTGATGGTGTCATCTCTAAATATTGGATTTGTTACTGTTTGTTCCTTTTAGGATTTTTTTTTATTACTTTGTTCATTATTGTTGAGAATTTTATACGGGTATACAAAGAAGTATGACATATCAAATGCCAATTTTTCTCCCCTAGTACTCCCATATCCCTACTTCCCCAAACCTATTTCTTCCAGCTTCTTTCTTCCCCCTTTTATTTGGAAGCCTCACCCAAGTGGACCCTTTACTCTGCAGGAAACTTATTCTTCCTAGAACCTCAAATGACTATCTCAGTGAGATCTTCCTGATTTCTGCTTGATGTTTTGCTGATATTTTGGTATTTACGTGTCTGTGTGTCTGTGTACTTATGTAGCTATCTGTCTATCACTTGCTATTTATTCTTTTATTTTGGCTTGCTATATAACAAATAGACTCATTCATTCAAAAGCCAATGCATTGCTATTGTAGGTCATTTCTAAATAAGCAATGTAAAAATTGGGTACATTATTATGCCTGATAAGCAAGGAAAGCAGAATTTCTTCTTGAACAAGAAGTTCAAATACATTGAATTTTTAAATTAACCTTTATACTGATACCCAAATGAATTTATATTAATCTTTAGATTTTGCACTAAATTTTTCTAAATTATTTGATAATAATTTATCAAAAAAGTATGCACAGTAGGTCGTCTTAACTTAAAAACAAATGATGTGAATTTGTGAGTTTAAACCATTTCTGTAAGCATTGGATAGAACACATAATCAGTTATCCTCAGTGTGGGTGGTACATACATATCTGGCATTCTGTTATTACATGTGTTTTTATTGTATGCCTGAATTATATGTGCATTCATGTACGTATGTATATATAAATAGCTGTGGCTGCAGGCATGTGATAGACCTATTCTCAGTGTGGATCACTTCCAATTATTTTTCTGGCAACAGTGAAGGAAGGATGTGCAGGCTCTGATCCCATGCTCTTTCCTATCCTCTCTCCTCTCCGCGGTGCTACACACCTGGCTGGATTCGGGCAGCATCCTGCAGAACATAGAATGGTTGTTTGGCTTGCTTAGAGGTTGAATCTGTCTGCATCAGTTTATAAATTTTTCATCTAATTAGCTTTAATTTTTATGCTTTCTTACTTATATACAATGAATTATCCCTCTACTACTTTCTCTTATCTCCACCCCAACCTTTCTGATCAGCTTCCCCCCATCTCCAGCCAGTTCTCCTCCGAATTCCCTGTCATTTTTTGTGCACTTCTCTTGTGGTCCTGGCTACTGTGTGTTCATGTTCACTGTGGCCTTGTCACATGCAGGAGACAGTATTCTAACCTGCTCATCTAGCTCTCTCTGTCACTTCCTCTTCCAAATGTCCCCAGGGACTCATGGTGGATGATATAAATGCTCCCATTAATTTTTCCATTATTAAAATGTTGTATGGGTGGTGTTGACTGCTACCATTATCCTCGCTCGTCACTTCTTATGTTAAGAATGAACTTGAAGTCTGGAGATACCACACAATTAATGCGAGTGTCACAGCTATGCAGTTCCTTGGCTCTGTTGTAAATGGGCCCTCCACCCCCCAGTCAGACAATCAAATGCAGATGCGATAGATGACAGTCACATATAGGGAGTACGGGCTCCTCATTCTTCTTGCCTGAATTGAAAACTTGAACCACTTAGAGAATGCATTCATGGAAATACAAATCAACAGTGCAGGCCACAATAAAGTAATCAACTGCTCTGCCAGAAACTGAGGGGAAAGTAGAAAGAGATTCTTCATAATAAAATCTCTTCTTTATTGTAATTCATATTTTGTAATGTACAATATTAAGTAAACAAAGAAAATTCAAAAGGGGTGGACCGGAATGTCATGGAGCTTTAAGGGGTTTTAATTATGCCTCAAATGTTAGTGTTGATTTAAGAGTTACAGCACTATAAGATATCTGGTATCCCAAATTACCTATTGAAGTGTGAGAGAATTTTCAGTTTGACCACCAAACCACTTTGATCAGAATCACAAACCATTGGATGGATATTTAGTGAGCATTTATTACACGTCACAAAAGAGGCAAAGTTTCATGTATTCCAGGCTGCCAGTAAATTCATCCTAGGATACACTGAACCCCTGACCTTTTTTGTCTTTTCTCTGTAAAGCTTGATTATTCTCACGCACCTACCAGACTGGGTTCATTCACTGTATGTCATTCACTGTATGACATAGCAATAAAAATGGACAAAATTATAAAAGCAATATGGCACCCTGAGAAAGTGTAGAACGCTAGGAGTTTGGCCTAAGGAACCCATATGATTGTAGAGAAGTTTAAAATTCTGAGAGCTGTTATTCTCACCTCTGAATCATGTGTTATGTTTCCAAAATGCAAATACATTCTCTCATGCCTTGATTAATCACATCTGCTTTTGAACTTGTCAACTCTAGTGCTCAACAACTATTTGGGGGGAGATTTTTAAACAGCCTTTAGTATTTGCAACTTTTATTTTAAAACTGTTTTTAAAGTCCATGTTAGATCTACGAGTCTTTATTTATTACTGTTACATATACTATGATTCCTTATGACGGTATTCAAGTTTTGTCCTTAAACAAAATAAAATAACATATACATATGTTTTCAGTGTTTGCCTGTAGAAGTAATGTTTACTAAAAACTGGGCTCCCAAAATTGTAACTTGTTCTTTACTTGGGGCCAAGATTTAAATATGTTGGAAGGTCTGCCGTATTTCTATGCGCATTTATCAGCTTGACAAAGAAAACTCCATTGGGAAGGCATCCTCCTCTAATGATTCCTGGAAATAAGCCTCCTACCTCAATGAGTACATAGCCTCTCTGATATAGTGCTTTTTTCTCTGTAGAGAGTACAAGAATTAGGGTGCAGGTAGGAAAAATGAGAAGGACTAGCACCCTAAGCCTCCAACATTCCAAAAAGAAGCATGGCTGTGCTGGGCCACACATTCAATTCACACCGCGTTGCAAGTAGATGGTGTTCCTTACTGTAGTCGCTGTTTTCGTCCTTGGTCCCATCAATGGTACCATCTGGATGCATCTGCAGGAAATATCCCTGCTGGCTGAATAACCTTGTCACAATCCCTTTCAGCTGGGGTTCTGTAAGACAAGATGAAATAATTATTCGCTTTTTTTAATATTTTGTTTATAAAAATGCTCACTTGCAAGTTGTTAGAAAACACTCTGTAAGTAAATAAATAAATGCCCCTGTCATAAATACTGAAATTAGCATTTGGAAGGGGTTCATTGCACGGTAATAGCTGTGCTGTTCTTCTTCCTAGAGGCAGAACCACAATACTTGGAAACAGTATGTCATGTGTAAGTAAATAGTGAAGCTAATTATAGTTAGAAATGTAAACTTGTTGAAAAGTGAACCATGGCCCCGTCTTCTACATGAGACATCTTCCTCCAAGATGCCCCCAAGTTTATGATTATATCCCAGAATCACTGAAAAGGCAAGAATGTCATGACAATCTCTAAGTTTCCTGTTGTCATACTGGGGGCCAGGAAGACTTTCATTTTTGCTGGAGGCCGAATACCTGTCAGAAGCTCTTAGGTTTTGAAAAACTCTCGTCAAGTTCATCCAAAAAGAACCACAATGAAAGAAAAACAATGAGAGGATGAGACTTTTGCGGTTACCAGCCTTTCACCACAGAGGGGGCCACTGAAACTCACTTCACTATTATAAAGCAAAGCAAAACAAAACAAACAAAAAGCAAAACAAAACAAAAAAAACACCATAAACATTTCCTTAACAATTTTTTAAACCATAAATGGTCCTTATTTTTCAATATTTTACATAATAAAACCATCAAAATTCAGCACATCTGTATTTCTGTACATCAGCTAATATAAATATTTACATTGCGGTGGTGCCTATGGCAACAGGCTGCTTTCTACAACGTCACCATCATTTCATCTCTAGTGGTAGATGAAAATTACCTTAGGATATTTACAGCTCTAATTATTTCATAAATCATAAGGGAAAAAAGAGAATGCTGTCTCTGCTAGTAGGAACTGAGGCAAATGATAGAAACCGTAATATTGCTTGAAGTCATGGTGTCTGTGGTAGGGACAGCCACTGAATGTATGCCTACCGGCCTCTCAGCCTTTCTGTTTATTCAATACATGTTGTTTAGGAATTCACTGTTTTTTTTCCTCTTTCTGTGAATACATCAGGTAAACTGAACACTTTAATGTTGGGTTTAGTCCTAACAGGAATCTGGTATATGACTTTTCAGGCTGTCTTTGGAAATACAGGGCAATGTTTGTGACATCAAAGGTGTCCTAAAAAGAAAAACAAAAGAGATATAGAAAAAAACCTGGAAATAAGCAAGAAGGGGTAAATACAGAACTGAATTTGAAACCAGGTATTTTGGCTAAAAACATTTTTTTCTCTTCAATTCAATTACATGCTTTTAAATTGTAGATCTAAATTTTCTCATCTGTATAGTCAGTAAGTGAAGCTAAATGGGCCTTGGGTCCCTTCTATGATTTCCTTGTCACATTAGAGTGACAGGATTTGTCCTCCACACTTGTTCTCCATGGATGCCCTGAACCCTACACGTATACCATGGCTATGCCTGAGAAAAGTACAGCTACATGACAAAGAACTGTGATGAGACTGCGTGGCTGGAAAAAGGCTCCTGGTATGGCCCACTCAGCTCGAGGTATGAATGCGGGCATAAGACCCAACAGAAAGCCCAGCTTTCTTGGCATCCTGGGCAGATGATATATCATCTGAATCTTGGTTTTCTCATGTGGATAAAAAAAACAAAAAACAAAACAAATAAACAAACAAAAAAACAGTACTCAGACTGTAACCACTGAGAATGTCAAATGAATAGCTACGTGACAGTGTGAACTAGAAAATGCCGTAAATCTGTACATCTTAATTAATGCATAAAGTTTCAACCATGAAACCCAAGGAAGCCACAGGGGTGAAGAGGGCACTCTGAGAGCAGACGCCATGCCTCCTGGGTCCGTTCTGGGAAAATACGTGTTGAACTCCTGAAGGCACAATGTAAATAGCATAGACAGGGAGATAGAAAAACGACAGAGGAAAGGGACAATGGTCCCTTCAATCCATGTCTTTCTAAATAAGCTTATGGCCACTTAAAGAAGTCCTGTCTTTTTTGGTAACGAGAAGCATGGCAGCTTATTCATTAAAGCCTGCAAACGATTGTTTGTCTTCTTCATGCTCCTCTTTCTCCATCTGCAATTAAATACTGCTTTTGCCATGGTGACATTATCCCTCTGTTGGGACCCTGGGGATTCAGGTTAGTAACTCTTGTTCAGAATAATGAGGCTAGACCTTTACACCACTTCTCTGTGCCAGGAGGAGTGAGGAGGCAGACACGGGTCTGAGCTTTAATTATGTGATGATCGAGAAACATAAATGTCCTGCACCACAGAGATCTTACAGGAGACCAGCACATCTACTGAGCATGCCCAAAGCCTGGGGTAGGACACTGTAAGCTGTGCAGCCCACCTGTAAGGCATTGCCCCATGCTGTTCTCCCAATCCTTACTAGCCTTTCCAGATTCCAGCCCAAAGCAGGCCCTCTATAAAGGTTGCCAGCATGAGGGAAGGGGGTGGTATCTGGCTATATTTGAAAAAAAAAAAACAAAAAACAAAAACAAAAAAACCCTAAATCGCTAAGCCCACATTTCAGCATATAAAGGCCCCCTGTGCATATTTTAAAACATGGTTGTTCTTTGTCAGGGTCTTGTTTAGGAACCTAAGAGACTAGGGGGAGGGACCCGTGCTATCCCTCGAGGAGCAGCTAACGTAAAGCATGAAACATATACCACTAATGGGGGGGGGCTAATAAATGAGTGAAGCAATGTGGCCTAATGGGTCCCAGGAGCAAAGACCAGTTGTGTCCATCTTTGACAAAGATGCCACTTGAGGAACGAGTAGGATCCCCTCCCTGGAGCATTGTGTATTCATGTGCTTAGGAATGCATGTGCATATATGTGTTCCTGTTCACATGTACGAAACTCTGTGTGTATGTGTGTGCGTGTGTGTGTGTGAGAGAGAGAGAGAGAGGAAGGGGGAGGATAGATAGGTAGATAGATAGACAGACATATTAGACAGACAGACAGTAGTGAAGAGGCCTAAGGACAACTTCAAATATTATTCCTCAGGCAGCACCTGCCTCCATCTTCTCTTGAGACAGAAACACGCACTGGCCTGGACCTGAGAAGTAGGCTAGGCTCCCTGGCCCACCCATGAGCTCCAGAAATCCACCTGCATCTGCATCTTCACTGCTAAGGTTATGAGTACCTGCTACCACACTCAGCATTTTCTACTTGGGCTCTGGGGCTAAGGCATCTCCACAGGCTATGAACAAAATTTTCATCTGAAAAACTAAACAAAAACAACGAACCCAAAAATGAACAGAGACATTCCCAACAGAAAGCACAGCAAACAGACTGCCAATGATGAGTCCAGTTAGTGTCCCCACACACACACACAAAATGTTATGGATCAGGAGCGAATTTAATAAAATAGTGAAATTTAATAAGACATTAAAATAAAGTTCATGAAGACCTTTATAAACAACTTTTAGGTTGAGAAGTGTGTTATTCTTTTTTTTTTTAATGTTATTTAATCAACGGGTGGCCTAATTATTAATAGCAACAGAGGTGTTATTTCATTACCCTTTATAATCTAGAGTGGAGTGGCAATACTGCTCGTGTTTCACTCAAATCCATTTCCTCCTTTTCCTGGGCACCCAGCTCGACCATATGTCCTAGCCTGCCTTGCAATTAGGTTTGGCAGATGAGAGAGTGTCATATGGAACGTAAGTGGAAGTGGTATGTGCCATTTTCAGGCCAAGGCTTTCAAAGCAAATACTCTCTTCCACATTCTCTCTGGATTAAGATGGCTAAGCCCTAGGGGGATGCTGGAGCAACAGAATGGAAGAATGCTGTGCCCTGAATAACCAGTAGAGAAAAGAAAATAGCTATCAGAAATACCCACCTTGGGCAATGAGGTAAATAACAAACGAATTTCCATTGGCTCAGTGTGGTGGCTTTCTTCTAATGAGAGCAGTATGGAAAAGAAGAGAGGGAGGGATCTCACTGAAAAACCACAAAGCTCTGGCTCAGCTAGGTGACCAAGGATAACACCAACAGCTATAAATCATGCTGGTAGCGTGTATCCTTGGTACGATGGGCTGAGATAGCATGTTATTTCTGTGACTTCTCATCAAAAAACACATAACCTCTAACTGTGAGAGAAACACAAAGCAGATCACAGTTAATGGGCACACAAAACACTCAACCCAACCACCCCCCCAAACTGCCAAGGTCATCAATGAAAAGGAAACAGAAATGGTCACAGGCAAGACTAGAAAAGGAATATAAAGGGGAACTACAATTAAATGTAATGTGATATTCTGGACCTAAAAAAAAAAAAAATCACTAAGCTAAAAATGACAGAAACTAAGAGGCATGGCGGCACATGCCTGGGACAACAGAGGATGGTAGTCTGCAACAGGAGGATGACCACTGTTAGATAACTCTGCCAAATAGGAAGGAAGGAAGGAAGGAAGGAAGGAAGGAAGGAAGGAAGGAAGG